GAGAGGATGGAATGTGGATGATAGTATCACTCTCAGGGGCCACAGAGACTCAGGTCCCTGCTCTGAGGGGACGAGACAGACAAGTGGAAAAGGAAGCTCGTAAATAACAAGAGGGCTTCACATCGTGATAAGTGCTGTGAGGAGACGGGAAAGTGAGCGATGTGATAAGACTGGGGCTGTGTTTTACCATCCGGTGACTTCAGCTTTTATCCAGTTGCTTGGATGAAGGTTTTCCTTTTTGCCTGTGGGTTGTCTTTTCTTTTTTTCCCTAGCTTTATTAAGATGTTTTACTGTTGTTCAGTCTGTGAGTCGTGTCCAACTCTTTGTGACCCCACGAACTGCAGCACGCCAGGCTCCCCTGTCCTTCACCATCTCCCAGGGTTTGCTCAAACTCATGTCCATCGAGTCGGTGATGCCATCCAACCATTGCATCCTCTGTCATTCCCTTCTCCTCCCACCTTAAATCTTTCCCAGCATCAGGGTCTTTTCAGATGAGTCAGTTCTTCACATCAGGTGGCCAAAGTATTGGAGCTTCAGCTTCAGCATCAGTCCTTCCAATGAATATTCAGGATTGAGTTCCTTTAGGATTGGCTGCTTTGATTATTGAGATATGATTGCTATATAATATTATGTAGATTTAAGGTGTACGATATGATGCTTTGATACACACATAAGTAGTGAAGTGATTATGACAGGAAGGTTGGTTAACACATCCGTCGGCTCGTATAGTTCCCATGTTTTGTGCTTGTTTGTGCTGAGAACATTTCAGATCTACTGTCATAGGAGCTTTCAAGAGTATAACACAGTGCTGGTAACTATAGGCACCGTGCTATGCATTAGATCCTGGAACTTACTCGTCTGATACACTGGAAGCTTGTGTCCTTAGACCAGCATCTCTCTGTTCCTCTAACTGCTCCCCTCACCACCCCACCCCAGTTCTTGGCGACCGCTCTGCTCTATTTCTGTGAGTTTGGCTTTTTTAGCTTCCATGTGTAAGTGATATCACAGTGTTTATCTTTCTCTATCCGACTTACTTCACGTAGTGTAGCGCTCTGAAGGTCCGCCCCGTCGCTGCAGATGGTAGGATGTCCTTCTTGTTTACGGCTGAGTAATGCTCCTGTGTGTGGGTGTGGGTGTGGGTGTGTGGGGGGTGTGTGGGGGTGGGGGTGTGTCGTGTTTTCTTTATTCACCTGCTGATGGACACTCGGGTTGCCTCTGCGTCTTGGCTTTTGTAAACAGTGCTGCCGTGAATGTAGGGATGAATCTCTTTGAGTCCGTGCTTTCGTTCCCTTCAGATAAATGCCCAGAGGTGGCATAGATGAGAGCCCTGTTTTTCATTTCTCAAGGCGGCTCCTCCTGCGCCCACAGTGGCTGCCCCAGCTTGCATGCCCACCAGCAGCATAGGCGGTTCTCCCTTTTCCTCACCTCCTCACCAACACCTCCTGTCTCTTGGCGTTTTGATGACGTAACAGCCGCCCTATCGGGTGTGCGGGGACAGCGCGTCGTGGTTTTGACTACGTTTCTCTGATGACGAGTGACGTTAGCGCGTTGTCCACTTCATACCTCTTGTCCACGTCACGTCTTTAGAAACTCTCTCTTTTGGTCATTTGCCTACTTTTAAAATAATTTTTGGTTTGCTGTTGACTTGTATGAGTTCCTTATATATTTCTTGTTAACCCTCTTATCACATATCTGGTTTTCAAATGTTTTCTCCCATTTCGTAGATTGTCTTTTCATTTTATTGATTGCTTCTTTTGTTGTAGAGAGTCTTTTTAGTTTGACGTAGTCCATTGATTTCGGCTGCTGTTGCTTGCGCTTCTGGTGTCATTACCAAAAATTTGTTGCGAAGACCAGTGTTAAGGCTCTTTCTCCCCTATGGTTTCTTCTAGGAGTTGTATGGTTTGAGTAAATTGTTTTGAGTTGGCTTTGGTATTTGGTGTGAGGTAAGAGTCCAATTTAATCTGGTGGATTTTATTTCTGAAGAAGCCTCTCTTTATCCTAAAGTTATTTCCGTAGGTTTTCTTCGAACACTGCCCTTATAGATGTGGAATTTATCTTTGTGTGTGATGTGGGGTAGATACCAACACCAGATATTCAATCCTTTCCGCACTGGGTGTGAATGCCACCTTTATCGTATACTAAATTCCCACACACACATAGTTCTGTTTCTGAATTTTATTCTGCTGCATGCATCTCATTGTCTTTTTAATTATTAAAACTTTAAGGTGTGCTCCTCTTTATTTCTTTTCATGAATTTTCTTGGGTGTTCTTAAGACCTGTCCTCTTTGGGATGAATTTTAGAATGAACTTGATAAATTTCATGACGAACTATTTTGGAAGTCTGGGATTCCACTGAGGTGGTAGATGAAGTAAAGGAAAATGGAAATCTTTACGGTATCTAGTCTTCTCCTCTAAATACCTAGTGTATGCTCTAACACAGTAGATGGTTATAGCTATGGTGGTCGTTCAGTCGCTGAGTCGTGCCCGACTCTTTGCGACCCCGGGACTGTAGCATGACAGGCTCCTCTTCCTCCGCTTTCTCCTGGAATTTTCTCAAATTCATGCCCATTGAGTTGGTGATGCTATCCAGCCGTCTCATCCCCTTCTTCCTTTGGCCTTCCATCAGGGTCTTTTCCAATGAGTTGGCTCTTACCTATTCACATGGATTTAGTGTGTTTACTATAGATTTATTTCCAGGTTCCTTTCTTTTTAGTGTGGGACTTTTTTTCTTTTACCTTTTCTGTTTTAATTGTTGCTGGTGTATGGTAAAGCCACTAATTTGTATGTGTTGATTGTTTCCTACCAAATAATAATAATAATAATTAGTATTCGTGTTAGTACCGTGTTAACATTGATTCCTTTGGATTTTCTAGAAAAGTGAAACCATAGCATCTGCAGAGAATGGCAGTCATGTCTGTTCTAATATTTCTGCTGCCTCTTTTAAATTTTCTTGCTTTGTTGTGTCTGCTAGCATCTCTCAGTGTGAAACAGGAGTATCAGTAGATACTTTTGTCGTATTTCTGCCTGCAGGGGGGCACCTGTCTAAAGTTTCACCACTGGATGTGATGTTTGTTACTTGTTTTGGTAGACACTGATTTTCAAGAATGTTTTGCATTCCTCCTGGTGCCTCAGAACAGCCTTCAGGTTGGTGTTGAAGCTTTCAGAAGGGAAATAGAAACTCCGAACAGCTCAGCGACTTGAAATGCACGCTAAGCCAGTGACGCAGATGGCTCTGAGTGAGCTGTCTGTTCCCAGAACCTTGCAGGCTGCTGACATGCCTTGCTGCCTGTCTTCCTCTGCCCTGCTGCGTTATGTGAGCCGCTCAAGGACATTTAGAGGTCCTCGTGGGCTTTGGCGGCTGTGCCACTGTGGGTCTCCATAGCAGAGCAGGACGCTGAGTCTCAGGGAGGAGAGGTGACTGTACACGCGGCCCCGAGGTGTGGACCCAGGTACAAAGTGATTCTCTGAAGCCGTGCTGCTCCTCAGCACGTACGTAGGCGTCCAAGTTGGGCTTTACCTTCGGATGTCATTTGTTTTCAGACCTGGGAGGCAAAGGGTTACATTAATTACATTCCTCATTTCCTGGTTCTGTATCATCTTACCAAGACTCTCTCTTGTTTTATTTACTTATTTATTTATTCCCGTTTATCACCGACTCGGTGGACATGAGTTTGAGCAAGCTGCGGGAGTTGGTGATGGACAGGGAGGCCTGGCGTGCTGCGGTCCATGGGGTCGCAGAGTCGGATGCGCCTGAGCTGAACTGGTCCCCTTTCCCCGTGGCCAGCTCTCCCTCCCTGTCACCCTGGGCAGCGGTTCTCTTCAGCCTGTCTGGGTTTGGTTTTGCGTTTGTGTGTTCGCGCACAGGGTGCATTGGCGATTTTCACGCAGTCGCTCCAGCTCCTGTTCCCGCTCAGCGCCCTGTTCCACGCCGCTCCGTTTCCGTGTGTATACGTGTCCAGGTGCACCGTGTCCTGCAAACATCCCGTCTGCTGTTTCTGACAGCCGTGGGGTCCTCCGTGGAGGACGTCCGCATGTTCTCTTGAGACTCCTACAGTGACCAGCACGCAGGCTGCCTCCCACCGCTTCCCTAAGCCTCACTGCAGGGAGCGTCCTCCTGCTGTGGAATGTGGGTCTGAGCAATGACGACCGTCCTGCCGTAGACATGGGGAGCAGGGCCGCTGGGCCCGGGACGCCGACGCGTCTCGCTGTGTCCCAGAGGCCAGGTCTCCGTCTGGACTGGCTGCTGCGGTCACCTCTCCTGCCCCCAGGGCACCAGGGCTCCTGCCGTGCCTGGCATTCATCACTGTTTCCCATTTTTCTGGTTTCACAGATACTCTACTTTGGGGGTTGATTTTTTTCATGTTTATTTCTAGGAGGTTACTGTATTTCTCAGTAGCAACTCTGTCAGCGTAGACGCTCCCAAAACACCTCCTAACCTGTCAACAGTCTGTTGTATCTGTCCACAGAGTTCTTGGTTATTCAGGGAATGTTGCTTCTGAGGAAGGAAAAGGTATCTGTGTTGTAACCTGTGGTCTGTGCCTTTAAGACCTCCTCCCAAGCCCCAGCCCCTCTTGCCCTCCCCAAGAACGTTCCTCCACGGTGCTGCTGCCCCTTCTCACGTGTTGGCGTCTTATCTGGCCCCTCAGAGGCACAGTCTGGGTTGGAGGTTCTTGGGTGCATTGTGGTTCGTTTGGAGAAACTGCCCAGGGCAGGGCCCAGGGAAGGAGCTGATGATACTCCTGGTTCCACCGGGCTGTCCCTTTGGGGATGGAGTGTGTCCGTGGACCCCGCCTAGCTGGTGGTCGGCTCACCTCGGCTGGACTTACCCGCCCAGGCAGCTTGTGAGCTGCGGGCGGGCGGCGGCCCGCGTGGGCAGCCGGTGGGCGAGGCCCCAGCCCGGCGACGGACAGGGATCTGGTTGGGCGCCGGCAGCCTCCCGTGCCTGCCGGGGCACGGCGGGCCCCTCTGGGTGCTGACTCTGCCCGCGTTACCGCCCACAGTGTCCACGAAGGACCTGATCGAGACGTGCTGCGCGGCCGGGCAGCAGTGGGCCATTGACAACGATGAGTGCCTGGACATCCCCGAGAGTGGCGCCGAGGGTGACGTGTGCAGGTAGGACAGGAGCCGGCTCCGCGGCCCCGCGTCCTCAGCCCCGGACCCCGCACTGCCCCGGGGGCCCCTGCACCCACATCAGCTGCCCGCAGGCGCCTAGAGGTGGCTGCCCGGCCGCTCTCCAGGTGTGGGGAGCTCCGGACGCCCCGAGAGCCAGCCCTCTGTGCAGACTGGCAGCTGACCGGTGAGAAGTGGGCAGCTGGGAGCAGCTGGCGGGCCCGCCGTCACCCGGGAACAGCCGGCTGCTTCTCGCCAGGTGCTTCTCCTGGGCCCTGCTCCGCCGTGAGCCTCGCCCGCTTCTTCTGGTGGCGGTTCTCGGCAGAGGAAGGCCTTTTTACCCACGCCCTCCCTGTGCCAGGCCCAGGGCACGTCCTCTCAGACACTCACCCCCTCTTTACTCCTGGGACGCGCCATCTCATCCAGCCTGCTCCTCTTTCTGCACAAGGTTCAGAGAGGGCGTATGAATCACCCCGAGCCACACAGCTCACTGGAGGTTGACCTGGATTAGATGCCGTGTTTCCTTGTCCTGGTGGCTCAGATGGTAGAGAATCTGCCTGCTCATCTGACAAACACACACATTTTCCTGCTGTCCACCCACCATGCCTCTGCTGGGTGCTAAGTGGCTGAGTCGTGTCCCACCGCGTGCGACCCCATGGACTGTAGTAGCCCACCGTGCTTCTCTGTCCGTGGGACTCTCCAGGCGAGAAGACTGGAGTGGGTTGCCGTGCCCTCCTCCGTGGGATCTCCCCGACCCGGGGACTGAACCCGAGTCTCTCACCTCTCTTGCACTGGCAGGCGGGTTCTTTAACCACTGAGCCACCTGGAAAGCCCTCTGTTAGAAACATTCAGATTCTAGCCTTGTCCCTTTGCTTTCGGGCTGCCTAGGAGTTAGGGCGTTCAGTGTTCATGAGTCTTGAACCTAGCGGTCTAGTGCTTGCTTGCATTCCTCCTGTGATGGGGACCTCACTGCTTCATAGGCAGCCGTTTCTGTCACCGGATGGCCCTTGCTGGGACATGGCCTTCCTCAAGTGAGGCTGAAGCCTGCTTTTTCATTCCCCCGGTCTTGGGTGCTGGTCCGTCGGCTCTCTCAGCCTTACAGTTACTGGAGGCAGGACCAGGGACCCTGACCCCCGCCTGGTCAGGGACACCGAGCCCGGAGCCCCGGGGGGCCCAGGCCCGAGTCAGCCTGGTCAAGCTCAGAACAGAGCTCGTGTCGCTGGGCGGGGATGTGCCATGCGGCTGTTGCCCTGGCGCCCGCAGGGCACCTCGGCGGGGCTTCCCTTCCCTGAGCCGAGCGTCCTCCCGTGGGAAGCGGGGTCCCTGGAGGGCGGGGTGCTCGGTGGGGCTGAGGCGCGGCTCTGTTGCAGGACGGCCCAGAAGCACTGCTGCGTGTCCTACTTGAAGGAGAAGAGCTGCATGGCCGGCGTGTTGGGCGCCAAGGAGGGCGAGGCCTGCGGGGATGAGGACAACGACACCTGCGGCGTCTCCTTGTACAAGGCAAGCTGCCCCGGGGCTCGCGGCCTGAGCCCGCAGGTCCTTGAGGGCGGATGGAGTGGGCAGGCCGTGGGGCCCACTCCTGGGGGCAGGGTGGGGGGGCGCCCTGCACCTACATAGGAAACATCGCCAGTTACCGATGGACCCATTCATTCGGGAACATTGACGGAACTCTAGTGTGTGTTGGGCCCTATGTCACACGTTAACAGCACAGAAATGGACAACACAAAATTTCCCTGCGCTCACAGGGCTTTCTGTTCCTTTTTGGTCTGTTTGTGGCTGCTATCAGCCAATGGCTCCGCTGGCTAGACCTAGGATGGCTGTCGCTGGGACAGTGTTTCTCTGCTCCATGTGGTCCCAGCATCCAGCAGGCTACCTTGGGCTTGTTCAGGTAGTGGCTGGGCAGGTCTCCAACACAGGGAGTACAGGTGTGCAAGGCCTTTTGTGGCCAGGGCTCAGAAGGGCACCCCATCACTTCTGTCTCCTCTTGTTGACTGAAGCAAGTCATGAGGCACAAGCAAGAGATTGGGAAATGAACCCTCTCTCTCAGCAGGAGAATCTGCGCTATCACACTGCAAAGACAGAGGACACAGTGAAGAGTGAACAACTGGGGCTGTAACTGTGATCAGTCTGCCACAGTAGTTTAAACAAATTAAAGGCTTTGGTTTTGGAGGCAGACAGGCTGGCACAGTGAATCTAGAAATATCTTTGAGCACCCAAGCTTCTGTATTTCTGCTTGATCCTTTTTAGCTTGTAGTTTCCATCTTTAAGGTCACCTCACAACACAAGATAGCTGCTAGAGCTCCAGCCATCACATCTGTTCCAGAAAGGAGGAAGTAGGAATGCAAAAAGATGTATTTTCAAGTTGAGTTAACCCCAGTTAAGAGCTCTCCTGAAAACTTCACCCAGAGACTCCTGTCTCTAACTTCAAGGGACCATGGGAAGTGCTGTCTTTTAGGTAGCCAGAATAGAATTGGAGTCTGCTGGTAAATATAGAGACAGTTAATGGGTGTGACCAGGGGTTAACTTGTAGTTCTTTTCATAAGAAGTCATTTATGAATTATTACAAAGCACTTGCACTAGCTGACCTGGGGACAGATGGCACTTCTGTCCCTGGAGAACACGTCCTGGGCAGAAGAAACGAGAGGAGGGGGAATTCGCTCCCATTTATCAGCCCCTCCTCTGAGCATGGGGGCCCGGAGTGAGTCCCCTGGGCTCTCAGGCCGTGGGGAAGGCCTGTAGGCTGGGCACTGACCATACGTTTCTCTCCAGCAATGCTGTGACTGCTGCGGCCTGGGGCTCCGCGTGCGGGCTGAGGGCCAGTCGTGCGAGTCCAACCCTAACCTCGGCTACCCCTGCAACCACGTCATGCTTTCCTGCTGTGAGGGTGAAGACCCCCTCATTGTGCCCGAGGTCCGCCGGCCTCCAGAGCCCGAGGCCGTGCCACGGAGAGGTGGGTGCTGCTCCCCAAGCCAGGCGTGGGGGCCGGTGGGTGATGGCCGAGAGCTGCTGGGGCTTCTCAACAAGGCTGGTGCCCTCTGGCCTTCTGTGGGGACCTTGGTCACCTTCCCAAGGTCTGCCCTGGACAGAGTTCTTCTGTGGCTTCCCATGATAGACTCCTATTATTTTCAAGATGGTGGTCTCATTCACTTTTCTATTTAGTCATCCATTCTGCACAACTGCGTACCATCCATCTCCCTCCCCTCTCTATCCACCCACCCTCCAATTTGCTTTTTCACCTACACGTCCATACATCTTCCTCCCCATCCACCCATCCGTTTCACCTAGCCCCCGCCAATGCTGTGGTCCATCTTTCTACCACTCATTCCCTCATCCTTTCATCCACCCACCCCTCCATCCATCTACCAAGCCAAACACTCACCTCTCCATCAACCTGTTCATCTACCTGCTCATCCACTTACCCATCCACCCACCCATCTACCTACCCCTCCATTCATCCATCCACCCAACCCTCCATCCACCCACCCGTCCATCCATTCATCCATCTACCCATTCATCCATCCACCCACCCTTCCATCCATCGATGCACCCACCCATGCACCCCTCCATCCACCCACCCCTCCATCCATCCACCACCCATCCATCCATCCGTCCATCCATCCATCCATCCATCCATCCATCCACCACCCATCCATCCACCACCTATCCATCTACCCATCCGTCCATCCACCCCTCCATCCTACATCATGCTGTCTAGCTGAGCACATGGAAGGTTCTGGGGAGGACCTGATCAGATTTCCTGAGGGCCTGTGGTGTGGTCTCTGCCTCTCGCTGGGGCCAGCCTGGCTCTCATTAGGAGCATGGACCCCCCGCCCCAGTTTCAGAGGCAGAGTTGGCGAGCCGGGAGGCCCTGTCGCTGGGCGCAGAGACCGAGCTGCCCAACAGCCTGCCGGGCGACGATCAGGACGAGTGCCTGCTGCTCCCCGGGGAGCTGTGCCAACACCTGTGCATCAACACCGTGGGCTCCTACCGCTGCGCCTGCTTCCCTGGCTTCTTGCTGCAGGATGACGGCCGCACCTGCCGCCCAGGTGAGGGCCTGGGTTGTGGGGGCGGGGCCGGCCCTGCCGGCAGGGCGTGGGGTTCCTGGGGTGGGGGTTGTAGTCCCGCCCCTCCCGCCAGGCACAGGTGGGAACCCACAGTTGCCAGGGCTCCCGAGCGATTGGTTTGTGAGCCCAGGCAGACAGCTCCTTCCTGGAGCTCCATCTACAGGGGAGCCCTAGCACCCTGCTCTGGATTCAAGCTCAGGCCCAGGACCCCGGCCACAGAGGAGGCCCGCATGTCCCGAAACTGTGTCCCCAGCACTGGGCCCGCAGAGGTCAGGTCCCAGCACCTGGTCCAGGAGGACTTTCTCCCTGCCAGCTTCCAGGGTAGAGTCATCTGAGTCTGGAGACCCTTTCCCCTCCCTGCCCCCGACTCTGATCAGCTGTGAGATGGATCTTCTTTGCCTGAGATGTGTTCCTCTCTGAGCTTCCGTTTCCTCTGCCTTGGGATGGGCGGGGTGTGTGTGTGAAATGACCCCACCCCCACTCGAATGCCCCGAGTGACCTCTGTAAGGGCCTGAGGTTGACTGCAGACACGAGACCCCCTTGCGTGTCTTCTCTGCCCGTGACAGATGGCGGTGCCCCCAAGCCGGAGGCCGCCGAGGAGTCTGCACAGAGGCCCGAGTCCCCCCAGGTGGCCCCCAACACCATCGCGCTGCCCGTGCCCCAGCCCAACACCTGCGAAGGTAAACCCGGCCACGGGCGGGGAGCCCTCCGGGGCTGGGCGTGAGCAAGGTGGCCCTGCTCAGGCCTGCTTCTGCTGGCTGGGGGGGTGGGGGGGGGCGTTGGCTGACCTCACTCTCTGTGTTCTGAGAGGTGAGGTGGGGGACACGACCTGGGATGAGCACACGTGGCCTCCAGATGGCCTGTCAGCTGCCTTCAGCCTCAGTTTCTGTAAAACCAAGAGCATAGAATCCCCACTTGCCCGGGCACCCTGCGGCCTGCATTCAGCGGCGCGTGGGAAGCTCTCTGCATCCTCCCCTCCTCCCTCCCCGCTCCCGTCTCCTTCTCCCCCGCATCCCCTGGTACTTGGGGGGGGAGTGGGGAGTGGTGGCGGAGCCCAGCACCAGCAGGGTGTGAGCAGGGAGGGGAGACCTCGTGGAAAGGGTCAGGAGTGGGGTTCCCTGGCTCCCGGCCTCTCCACGTGTAGGCTGGAGCCGGGGGTGATGAGCTGAGTGGTCTCTGACTTCCGTGTGGTTTCCTGGCAGACAGTAAGGCGTCTGCCTGCAGCACAGGAGACCCAGGCTCAATCCCTGGGTCGGGAAGATCCCCTGGAGGAGGGCATGGCCACCCACTCCAGTAGTCTTGCCTGTAGAATCCCATGGACAGAGGAGCCCGGCGGGGCTGCAGTCCATGGCGTTGCGAAGCGTCAGACACACCTGAGTGACTAACACGGTCCCTCTCCTGGCAGACAACGGGCCCTGCCAGCAGCTCTGCAGGGTGGTTGGGGACGCCGCCATGTGCTCCTGCCTGCCCGGCTACGCCATCATGGCGGACGGAGTGTCCTGCGAAGGTGAGTCCCCGCCGCGCACCCGCACAACTGACCGGCCCCGGCCGGGGGAGGTGGTCCAGGGCCAAGCCCTGCCGTGCCGAGAGCGGGGAGCAGGCGCGGCTGCCGTGACCGCCGGCGGCACGGGGAGCGGCTGAAGGCGCTGCCATCCCGCGTGCCGGCTGTGCGTGCAGCCCCAGTAGGCACGCGGGGTGACTGCAGCCCCCCTGCTCACTGGAGCGCTCCTTCTCAAACTTAAGCGTGCAGCAGGTCCCCTGGGGGCCTGGGACCACGCTGATCCCGAGAATGCCACCTGGCCCCAGAGATCCGACCCAGTAGGTCTGGGGAGGGGCCCGAGGCCCCCTGGACCCCCATCCGACTGGCTGTGTCCTTGAGGGCCACCCCGCATGAGTGGCCTGTCTTGGCTTGTGACCACCTTGCCCCTGTAATGGTGAGCACTCCGGACTCTGAATCCAGCAATCCGAGTCCGTAACTCGGTGGGACCTTTCTGTTAGCCCTGCTAGTGGCTCAGACGGTAAAGAATCTGCCTACAACGCAAGAGACCTGAGTTCGATTCCTGGGTCGGGAAGATCCCCTGGCGGAGAGCATGGCAACCCACTCCAGTATTCTTGCCTGGAGAATCCCCATGGACAGAGGAGCCTGGCGGCTACAGTCCACGCAAAGAGTTGGACACGGCTGAGTGGCTAACACGTCTCCTCTTGCTCACAGCCCCTTTTCCAGTCATGGGTGAAGCCAGGACAGCGGGCAGTGCCTCCTGCTGGCTGCTGTGGGGAGCAAGGCCGGGGCGGGGGCAGCCGCAGCTGTGCGGCCAGCTGCTCTCAGAAATCACAGAGGCGTGTGGGTGTCGGTGACGCTGCCTTCACGTGGGGCTGGAAAGGGTCTGAAAGCGCGTCCCTTTCTCACCTGTGAACCTGCTCAGTCGGGGTCTGTTCCCGAGGCGAGGGGTCTGCCCTGTGGGCTGGGCCCTCCCTCTGTGAGATGGGGTCATCACGGCATGGTTCCCACAGTGAGCATCCCCTGGAGCTCTTCCGTGTCTGGAGGCGGCGTGGGCACAGTGCGAGCCGATGGTGTCGGAGATGCTCTAGTTCACGTTCAGGAGACGCTGGTGGGGGTCCTGGGGGGTTATGTCTGTCTGGGAAAGACCCCCATCCCTGTCAACAGCCAAAACCTGCCTCCAGCCACTTGCCCGAGACTGTTCTGGTGTGGGCGGAAACCATCTACATGCCCAGAAGGAGCAGGAGACTTGCCCAGGATGCACAGACGGCGGTGCCTGGCAAGCCTTTCTCTCAGATGGTGGGGGCCGAGCTGGCTCTGCTCCCCGTCTCCCGGGACCTGTGTCTCCTGGGCCGGTGTCCCTGCCCCTCCAGGCCCCCGCTTCTCTCTGCAGGGCCCCCAGCGGTGAAGGCTGTGGTGTCCAGGTCAGGGGGTGCATGCAGAGGATGTTCCGTGGGTGCACCCTGCCCTGGAGGGGAGTCCTGCTGGGTTCCACCCAGTTTAAAATCATCCACCAAGTGACCAACAGTGACAGCTCGAGAATTGTTTTTAAGTGTCCAGTTTCAGGTTTTCCGCGGGTCTGTGTAATATCCATCTTCACGTCGTCAGAGCCCGCAGCCCCGATTCCCCTTTGGACAGAGCAGGCAGTGCCCTGCCACGCCCACGGAGCCCCCTCGGCCCCTGCTCCCGTGGGTGTCCCCAGCCTGGCCCCCTGAGCCTCAAGTTTGCATCCCCCGCATCTGTGACTGCCCTGGCCGCCCGTGGAGGTGGAGTGTCTCTGGAGCATGGGTGGGGGACAGCCTCTGGTCCCGCCCACTGTGTGACCCCAAACGGGCTGTCTGCCGTCTCTGAGCTTCAGCTGGCCACCTGTCCTCACCAGGGCTCCTGCTCCCTCATCCTTCGACCACACAAACTCAGACTTGGGCCCAAAGCCCAGAGGCACCGCTGATGGATGGGCTGAGAGGCCCCGGGCCCCATCTGTCACCGGAGGCCACACCTCTCTAACGGCCCTTCTGTTTCTCCTCCTGCGACTTATCACTAGACCAAGACGAGTGCCTGCTGGGCGCTCACGATTGTAACCGGAGACAGTTCTGTGTGAACACCCTGGGATCCTTCTACTGTGTCAACCACACAGTGCTCTGTGCCGAGGGCTTTATCCTCAACGCACACAGGAAGTGCGTGGGTAAGCCGGAGCCCCGCCCGCCGCCACGGCCCCCGCTCTGCTCCACGCCACGCGTGCCACACCCGCAGCCACATGCTAAAGGGCCCGACCTTTGCATGTGAGCTCTCAGCACGACCCCCACGCTCCGTGTCCTGTCCTGCTTCTCCACTGACCCCCTGGGAAGCTGCTGTCCCCAGGGATGGGCCTGAGTCAGAACTGGAGCCGGGGTGTGACCAGGCGGCTCCCTGAAGAGAGGGCATTGAGACGCGTGGGCAGCAGGACAGGATGTGTGGGGTCTGGGGCAGGGAGGCCGGGGTTCAGAGCAGGACCGCCTGGGATCTCTGGGGTCTCGAGCTTCCTCTCGAGCCTCTGTTTCATCATCTGTGAGAAGGGGCACTGCTCCCTCTTTGGCGATTATGTGACATGAGCGTGACATAGCCAGAACGCAGGGCACAGTGAGCATGTGACCTCAGCTGCTGAGATTGCACTCCGATGCGGCCAAAGTCCCTTCCGAGGCACATGGATGGAGCTGGGTCCGGATGGTCCGGATCTGGATACCCCAGCTGAGTGTTCATTTGCTATGTGACCCTGAGCCGTGGAGCCCTCCTGTCTGGGCAGCTGGTCTCCCATGGCTGGTGGAGGGGAGGATCTGAGGTTTTCTCGCAGGAAACATCATGGACCTGACCAGAGAGGGACCCAGGGTAGTGGGGCATGGGGCAGACTGGGAGATGCTGTGGCAGGGGCACAGGCTGAGGGGGAGGCCGTTCCAGCCGGCAGCGTGTGGACACCCTCCCTGGAGAAGGCGGCATGGGCACGGGTCGCCAGGGACGGCAGGGGCGCGAGAGATGAGAAGGGCATGCAGGGTGGAAGAGCAGCTGCAGGAAGCACGTGGAGGTGGGAACGGCTTGCGCCCAGACCCCCCAGCCCCCGTCGTCTCTGTGCTTGGGGACCATGCCCAGCCTGGGCATGTCCGCTGTCTCACCCGCTGCCGCTGGGCAGCCGCGTGGCCACTGCAGACATGTTTGCCCCCGGCCGCGGGCACAACATGAGCCCTGTGGAGCCTGCTTGTGTGTGTCTGGGAGGATGGTCCACGGGGCCTGCGAGCACCCTCCCAGGATGCGGTGTGCAGGTTTTCCTGGTGGCCTGGAGAGACGACTTTGTCCTCAAAGGGGTTGCCGGGCGTCTGGAAAATGGGTTTTGGGGTTAAGAGCAGAGGTGCCTCCATTCAGCAAGGTTTATGGTCGTTCACTCAGTCTTCCCCTCCTTGTCATCCTGCCTGGACCCCAGTCTCCTTTTCATCCTTGTTCCACGCACGTGTTCATCTCGTCTGTGAACACTCATCCTTTGCATCACTTGTCTGTCCACAAGCGTGTTTTCTGTGGTGCATTTGTAAGCTCAGGCGTGTTCTGTTAACCTCAGCTGGTGAGATGGGAGATGGGTGCCCAAGTGAAGAGTGTAGACTCTATGGCCAGAATGCCTGAGTTCAAGCCCTGGCTCTGCCACTTTCTATTTGTAGGACCCAAGACCAGTCATTTAATCTCTCTGAGACTCAAGTTTCTTCACCTGTGAAAAGAGAAATAACATACACCTCCAAGGGTCATTGTGCTGGTTAGATGAGTCCATGTAAAGAGTTTGCTAGGGTTTGATGTCATAGTAATGACTCAACAAATGTGTTATACTGAGGCAGCCTACATAGGTAGTGAGCTCCCCGTCACTGGAGGTATGTAAGCCAAAGTGGGACAGGACTGAGTGGTGCCAAGTCCAGAGGACTTCTGACAGGCTGGTGACCTCTGTGGGGGAACCCGCTGTGCTTTTCTGTTGGCCTGTTGGGCCCTGTCCTTTGGGGACTGTCGTGGGCCCTTGGGGAAGAATGTTCCAGGTGGGCTGGGCTTTGGGAAGATGGGAGCCCCGGCTCTGTGGCCCACTCTGTGGGGTGAGGAAAGGGCTGGGCACTCTGGGCTCTGTTCTTGCTGTTGCCACGTGCAGGCTGCAAGACTTTGGTCCAGTCCCATCCTCTCTGTGAGACCTAGTTCCTTAGCTGGGAAGGAGTGTTCAGGGTCACGGAAGGGCTTTCCTCTAAGCCAGCGGTCTGCTCCCTTTTTGGCACCAGGGACAGGTTTTCCACGGGGAGGAGGGGGATGGCTCAGGCAGTAACTCGCGTGATGGGGAACGGCGCCCAGTGGGGAACGGAGCAGTGCCTGCTTGCCCACGGTGCGCCTTCTGTAGAGCCTGGTTTCCAACAGCCCGCAGACCGGTGGGGTTGGGGGCCCCTGCTCTCAATCTCCGGACCCCTAGTGAGCTGTGCAGTCAGTGGCGTCTGCTGTCATCCCTCAACTTGCTTCCTCCCAGGCTCCGCTGCAGGGTGCGGATTGGGGGGCCTCCTGACCCATGACGTTTCTGGGGTCCTGAGAAAGTGTCAGTGCAGCCTGTAAATCAGAAGTCTCTTATCTCGCCAAGCCAAGCCTTTCTTGGAAACTTTGGGTCCAGACCCCCTTTTTCTTCTCCCTCATCCCCACCCAGCCAGGCTTGGCTCGGCTTACACACCAGTTGGCTCACCTGCGAGTTTGCGAGCATTTCTTTTCCAGTGGCTCAGAAAATAAAGAATCCACCTGCAATGTGGGAGACCTGGGTTCGATCCCTGGGTTGAGAAGATCCCCTGGAGAAGGGAAAGGCTACCCACTCCAGTGTTCTTGCCTGGACAACCCCGTGGACAGAGGAGCCTGGCGGGCTGCAGCCCGTGGGGTCTCAGAGTCAGACATGGCGGAGTGACTAACACACACTTGCCCCACAGCCCGGTACCCCTCCTCTCCACCTTGCCCCCGTCCTGCTTGTGGGATCAGCTCTGACCTCAGTGTCCCCCAGAGCGAACCTGACATTCCCGCCCCCGAGCAGGTGGTGCTCCCGAGACCGTGCCGCCTTCCTCCCTGGTGTCTCCACCCGCCTGTCCCCTCTCCCCTGCCAGCTTGGGGGCCGAGGCTGTGGCCCCCACACGGCTAGGCCACCTGGGCTTAGCACAGAAGAGGTGCTCGTTGAGGTGTGTCCAGGGAATAAATCAATCAGCAAGGTCTACTGCTCCTCCACGGCCGGGTGGGGTGGGCACGCGGTGCCCTCCACGCGTACTTAGCACCCGCCTGTGTTGATCACCGCTCTGGGTCCCCTCTGCCCTCCACCGGGCTGCTTCTCTGTCCGTTCCTGGCATCTCCCCACCACCTGCTCACCCCAGGAGTCGGTCCTTGGCCTCTTCTGTGCCTGTCCTGTCCCTCAGGTTACCTCAGCACCCACCACTCCCAAGTTCTTGGCTTCACTAAGACCCCTTCTGTGAACTGCCAGGCAGGACTCCGACTGGCCCTTGACCCTTGAACTCAGTGTCACCTCCAGGGTTCCTAGCCTTCCCCCGTGAGTCTGCTCTCCTCAACGGGCCCCATCCTCACCTGCCCAGCTGCTTGGCCAGGAAGCTTTGGCAAGACTTGGCTTCTTTTTTCCTCTCTCCGTCATCTCATCCATCATAGATCTGTCCATTTGACCTTCACACAGTTTTGGAACCTGACTGCGTGTCCTCACCTCCGCGGAGCCTCAGCCCCTTCACATCCTATTCTACAAGCCCCTCATCCCTGGAGTGTTCACACTCAGCCAGGGGCCCCTGTTACAGACAAGTCAGTCCGCTCCCCTCCTCTGCTGGAACCCGTGATGGCTCCCGCCTCCCCCCCCCCCCCCCCCCCGCGTCTCCTGATCCTCTCCTCTCCCCACACTGCACCATCGGGACCTTACCCTGAACCTGCCCCCTCTGCCTGGGATGTGTGTTTGGCTTGTCCTGGCGTCTCCTCAGATGATTGCTCAAGTGTCCTCTGCCCTGATGACCCTTCGTGCCCCCCATCCGCACAATCCTGGGCTCCTCCACCCTACTGTTTCTTCCGTAGACTCCGGACCACCCTCTCTCTTACGTGTATCTGTTGGGCTTCCTCTGAGTGTCCCCCATGGCAGGGTTCCCGTCTGTCTTGTTCACCAGGTACCCTGGGGCCAAGCACAGTGCTGCTGGCGCCAGGCACGTGCTCCATAAATCTTTGTTGAATGGGTGGTGGCCCAGAGCCTGCTGCTCTCTGGAGGGCGGGGCTGGTCGGCTGGCGCCGTCCCCAGGACCATCCCGCAGCCCCTGACGGCCTGGCCCTCCCCGCAGACATCAACGAGTGCGTGACAGACCTGCACACGTGCAGCCGCCGCGAGCACTGCGTGAACACGGTGGGCTCCTTTCACTGCTACAAGGCGCTGACCTGCGAGCCGGGCTACAGGCTCCAGGATGGCGAGTGCACAGGTGAGGAAGGCTGGCTGCAGGCCCCGCCCCTCGCCTGCCCACCCCGCCCACCCCGCGCCCTGTTAGGCCCCGCCCCTTACCCTGGCGCCACCCCGCCCACCATCACCCTTTTAAGCCCCGCCCCCTTACCCTGCTCCGCCCCGTCCCCTGGGCCGCCCAGAGCTTGCTCCCTCCGGAAAGGTCGAAGCTCCAGGGTTTCTGGCCAGTTAAGAGACCCCACAGATGATGGTGTTTGGGGGCAGAGGTGGCCTCCAAACTGGTGGCCGGGGGGGAAGGGGCGAGGTAAATGGGTCTGGGTCACGTTACTCTCCTCCATGCCTCCGTTCCCACAGAAGGGTCATTTCTGTCCTTTTTAACCAGAAGATTCTAATCTCAGAAGAGAGAGAAGTTCCACTGAGCCATTTCAACAGCTGCTTCCCCAGCTTCGCTTATGGGCCCGGCAGGGTTCTGGGTGGTAGGGGTGCCGTGGGGATGCGTTTCCGTGCCTGGTCTTTTGACCAGGGAGGCGGGGGCTCACAGGCACACCGGGATGGCAGGGCTAAGGCTGGGTTTTGCTTTGGGTGGGGGTCCAAAGAGGCCTGCCCCCTGTCGGGGTGATATCTAGGCCCCTACTATAGGGGACCTACAGAAGGCAGAGCCCCTGGGAAGGGTGCCAGGACACAGGGGCCAGCCCTTAGGGGAGAGGGGAGGAGGGGTCTTGCTACAAGGAGCAGAGCGGAAGTCTTGGCTGAGGGCATACTGCCTGTGGCAGAAGGGTGCCAGGTTGGCAGGCCCAGGTAGGCAAGGACTTGGGAGTCTATTTCACACATGATGGGTGGCAGTTTACTTTTAACTGAAAACACCCAGAAGGATGTCACCCTGGAGGTGACACCCAGAGCAGTCCTCTGCTGTTGGAAATCCAGGAAATTCCGATGGGATGCCACTCAGGTCAGGCGTGAGCTCAGGGAAGCGGCTGAACACACTCTGTGCCAGGCCCTGAGCTGGGCTCAGAGCAGGGGTGGAATGAGCTGAGAGGACAGGAGCCCAGACCCCTTGTTGCACACCTGTGCACACCCACGCATGCCCAGGGCACACGCAGACCAATGGCGAGCCCCCTATAGAGAACCCTGAGCCCTGGGGAGCGGTCCTGCTTCCCTGGATCCCTGGCACCCCTGGGCCTCTGCTCCCAGGTCTGCCTCCTTAGACCAGAGCGGCTGGGCAGAGGCTATGTCCTCAGGCTTCCGGGGGTCCTTGGAGGGGGTCCTCGAACCCAGCATGGGACCCCTAGAGACTGGGCTTCTGTGGAAGCCAGAGGGGGTGGATGGATGGACAACAGACAGACGCACGAGGTGGGTCTGCCATCAGGAGGCCGACGGAGTCTCGGCCGTGCCACGAGCCCTGCCTGTCGCCTTTCTGCTCTGACCTCTTCTTCCTCATCTGGGGAAAGAGCCCGATGTGCCTGCTGCGGCTGGGGCGGGGGCCGGGGGGTGGGGTGGGGCACAGGCCGGCGCTTTGTAAACTGTGGGTGCTGGGCAGTGGCCGGGGGGGGTGGGGCACAGGCCGGCGCTTTGTAAACTGCGGGTGCTGGGCAGTGGCCGGGGGGGGGGGTGGGGGCGCGACTGTGACCTGCTGGGGCTGCACGGCAAGCGGGGACAGTGAGACACGCAGGTCTGGCAGCTCCATGCTTGGAAGCCCCAAGCCCGGCGGCCCGGAGCAGCGCCGAACTGTGCCCGTGCCTGTTTCCCCCGACGAGAGGGGCTCGTCTTGGCCCCCGCTCTGGGTTCCCGAGTACGTTTCGGAGTGCCCGGCAGTGAGAGGGATGACGTCATCATCACCGATGTGCGGGCCACGGCAGCCCCCCGCGATGCGGGAGGCCTTTGTAACGTCAGGGTCGTGGCGGGGATGTGCGGGCGCGTGCCTGCCAGCCCCTGACGTGCAGCCTGGTCTCTCTGGCAGACGTGGACGAGTGTGAGCTGGGCACGCACAGCTGCCAAGCCGGCGCCGTGTGCCACAACACCAAGGGCTCCTTTTACTGCCAGGCTCGGCAGCGCTGCCTGGAGGGCTTCCTGCAGGACCCCGAGGGCAACTGCGTTGGTGAGCGGGGTCTGCCGGGCTGTGTCTGCTGGCTGGGGACGGGGGTGGGAATGGTCTTCGGGAGGGGTGGTTGGAGGGATGGGGTCTGAGGGCTTTAGGGATCGGGGAGGCCTGCGTGGCCCTTCCCTCCCCCAGCCTCTGTGCCCCCTGTGAATGTCAGTGCCTGGGCCCCAGAGGCCTTTGCAGACGGAAGCTCCTATAACCCCGAGTGTCTGACCATGGCCGAGTTGCTTCTCTCCTGGCCTCAGTTTCCCCCATCTGTGGGACTGGGCTGGATGAAGGTGTATCACATCTGTTTTGACCTGGTCAACAGCACCCGGCTTCTGGGAGGGAAAGTCTTGGGTCCTGGGACAGGCACTGGGGGGTCTGACCTTCCAGCCCTAACCTGGGCTGGCCTGGGGCTCCGGGAGGGGCTGCACCCGGCTCCCCATCACCCACACCCCATCCGCAGACATCAACGAGTGCACGTCTCTCTCCGAGCCGTGTCGGCCCGGCTTCAGCTGCATCAACACGGTGGGCTCCTACACGTGCCAGCGGAACCCGGTGATCTGTGGGCGCGGCTACCATGCCAGCCAGGACGGGACCAAGTGTGTGGGTGAGGCCCGCCCCCCGCACCCCAGCGTCCGCCCCCCACCCCCCAGCGTCCGTCCTCCCCCCCCACAGCGTCCGCCCCCCACCCCCCAGCGTCCGTCCTCCCCCCCCCCCGCCCAGCGTCCGCCCCCCACCCCAGCGGAACCGGTGATCTGTGGGCGTGGCTGCCACGCCAGCCAGGACAGGACCGAGTGTGTGGGTGAGGCCCTCCCCCCCAGCGTCCGCCCTCCTGGGGCCCTGGGCAAGGCGGCTCCTGCAGGGGGCGGAGCTCGGGCCTCAGCGTGCCCCGCTGGCCTCCCCTGCAGACGTGAACGAGTGTGAGACGGGCGTGCACCGCTGCGGCGAGGGCCAGGTGTGCCACAATCTCCCCGGCTCCTACCGCTGCGACTGCAAGCCTGGCTTCCAGCGGGACGCCTTCGGCCGTGCCTGCATCGGTAGGTGGGGCTGGTGGCCGGGACGGCCCCCGGTGTGTGCCTGCCTCAGGCCCCAGCCAGCCTTGCTCTGACCGCCCGCCCGGCCCTGTCCGGGCGTCTGCCCAGCTGAGGCTCCCCTCACGGATCCTGTCGCCCTTGTTTCTTGCCCTTTGGCTGTGTCCGTCCGTGTGTCCCTCCATCTCCCCACAGCATCCCTGCTGCTTCCTGCTCTGTTCCCTCCTCCCGATCACTCCTTGGGGTCCCTGGGTCCCTCCTCTGCCCGGGGTGGGGGTGGGGGCTGGCGTCCTGGCCCCTCTGCCCCTCTGAGGCCCTGCGCACCTGCCGCCTGCAGACGTGAACGAGTGCTGGACGTCGCCCACGCGGCTCTGCCAGCACACATGCGAGAACACTCTGGGCTCCTACCGCTGCTCCTGCGCCTCCGGCTTCCTGCTGGCAGCTGACGGCAAGCACTGTGAAGGTACGAGGGCCCCCCGCCAGCCTGCCCACCGGCCAGCCCCCCCCTGCCCCCACCGCGCGCCCCGGCCTCAGCTGCCCGCCACTTCCTGCAGGAACCCCGCCTCAGAGCCGGGGGCTGGCTGGCTGTGCTGTCTGCACGCCCAGAGGTGGGAGTTTCCCTGCGTGCAGGGCCGGCAGCCTGGCTTCTGCCCCTTGTCAGGCTCTGGTTCTGGTCACCACTGCAGTGCCCTGGGGTCCGGGCAGGGAGCTGAGTGAGCGAGACAGGAGAGAGGCCCGCAGCCGCACAGCACCTGGTGATGCCACCCGGCCGTGTGCTGTCCAGGTGGACCAGTCATGGCTTTCCACATCCCAGCAACCCAGATATTTATCACGCATAAATCCTGCTGGGTTTTACACATTGCTGGGGTTGAGGGCGTGAGGGGGTTGTGGGGTCTCCAGCCCCTCCTAGTGGGAGGGTGCTCTCCCAGCACCTCCCCCGGAGGTGTTCTCCTCACTTCCCTCCTGGAGAGGTGAGTTTGCTGAGATCCCCAGGAAGGCCAGGCTCCTCTGTCCGGTTGCCTGGCCTGGCTAAAGAGCCAGCCTCCCTGGGACAAGTCCAGCCCCAGGGGCAGCTGAGCGTCGCCAGGCCTGGCTCCGTCGCACGGCACTCGGATGGGCTCCCAAAACAGACCCTGTCACTGCCCGTCCCCTTTGAGCCCCTCCGTCTGGCCAGGTGGGCGCAGAGAGCTGTGGGGGGCAGATCATCGACCCCACCCCTGTGGCAGTCGATTCTGCCTTCACCCACCCTCCTTCGCCACCTCAGCCCACTTCTCTCGGGCTGCAGGGCAGACTCGGGGATGGAACCAGCGTGGGCTCGGAGCCTGGTAGGGGAGATCAGGCACTTATGCATGCATTTGTGCCTTCCGTCATTCCGTGTGAAAGCGGTGTATGCGGAGAGGCCGTGAGGATCACGGGTCAGGCGGTGGCCTCAAGGGCAGTGCGATGTCACCCCCACCCCCACCACGGGTCACCCTGCTCTGACCCCATCACCCCCCGCTCGTGTGCAGGGCCCCCCCAGCCCAGAGCCTGTGTTCCGTCTATGCCTCATCAGCTCCACGGGGTGGAGGTGTTTGTCCGTCCTGTTCGGGGCCGTGTCTCCCAGCTCGGCACAGACCAGGTGCTTGTCAGAGCTTGGCAGGTCTCGGCGGGATGAATGAGAGACAAGTCCCTTCCTGCAAGGGGCTTGGGGTCCAGCCAGTGCTCCCCACTCCCTCCCTCCCCGTCTCCCGCAGATCGGCCCTCGCTCTCCCTCAGCCCCACGAAGGGGGTCGAGGGCAGGTCCCTGTTAGCACCTAGGTGACGCCTCTCAGAGCCACCTGTTCAGGCTGCTGTGGACCCTCAACACAGTAGTGTCTGGTTCCCCGCAGGGGGCATCTATGCGCCGCTGTGGCTGCCTCCTCCAGGCAGCAGGCCAGGACTCCACCATTCCCGCCCCTGCCTTGCTACATGTCCCCGGCCGACCCCTTGCCTTTTTCTGGACCCCGGGTTCCCCATCAGCCCCAGGGGGAGGCTGGAACTGATGGTCTGCCAGAGAAGGCTCCACGTGAGCGAGACCTCGATCCCGTCTCTGGCCCGGGCGGGCACCCCCGTGACCTCCGGCCGGTCTGTGTGCAGACGTGAACGAGTGTGAGGCCCGGCGCTGCAGCCAGGAGTGCGCCAACATCTACGGCTCCTACCACTGCTACTGCCGGCAGGGCTACCAGCTGGCCGAGGATGGGCACACCTGCACAGGTATCGCTCCTGCTCCACCCAGGGCCCCCCTCCGAAGGCACCTCCCCCTGAGTGTCAGGCTCGAGAGTCCCCACGGTTTTCGGGGGGACACACCAGCCACAGAGGCCTCGGCGTTGGAGCGGCAGTCCCACCCCAGCCGTGCGGCTTCCTGGCACCTGGACACGTGCGTCCCGAGCCTGACTTCAGGCGCCTTCCCTGCAAAGCAGAGACGATGGGCGTGACCTCAGCGGGGTGAAGGGTTAAGTTACCCAGTTGGCCTTGGACCCTGCAGGGCTCAGGGCCTCCCCTCCCCTGGGGTCACGTGTAACTTTACAGCTCGCCCTCTGTATCCGTGGTTCCACATGGGTGACTGGCCCGAGGGTGGATCGCACCATGTTTATTGAAAAAGGTCCCTGTGTAAGTGGACGCACGCAGTCCAAACCCGTGTCGTTCAGGGGTCAGCTGGGCCTGGTCCAGGCTGTGTCTGGCACCTGATGGGCCCCCCGCCGGCCGCAGCAAGCCCGGAGCGGCCCCGGGGGCAGGCCCCGGCGTGTGGGTCCGGTGTGGCCACGGGCAGCTCTGTCTTCTCTCAGCCTCGTTGTCCTCATCTGCAAGAAGGGCCCCCAGGCTACCCGGCCCGGGCAGGGACAGGGTGACCCAGGGTTCCTGAGGGCTGACCCTCTCTCTGCAGACATTGATGAGTGCGCCCAGGGCGCCGGCATCCTCTGCACCTTCCGCTGCATCAACGTGCCGGGGAGCTACCAGTGCGCGTGCCCGGAGCGTGGCTACACCATGACGGCCAACGGCAGGTCCTGCAAGGGTGAGTGCGGGGTCTGCGCCGGCAGAGCCTCGGGCAGCCCCCGAGCAGGTGCAGAAAGCCCTTCACAGCTTGCCGTGTGCCCTCAGCCGCGACACCCAGCGCGTGAGCGCGGAACAGCTGATGCTGCTGGTGGCCATGTTCACCGAGGTCCGCGCCTGAGATGAGGAAGGTGGCGGTCTTTCTGCTGCTTCACCCAGCTGAGAGTCTTGGAGGCTTGGACTCCACTCTGGGCCCTGCCTTGCGAGCGGGACAGGGATCCCATGGAGTGGTCCTGAAGGCGGGAGACCTACCCACGGAGAAGCCTGCAGAGGGGAACCCCAGGGCTGGCAGGGGCTTCCTGGCTGCAGAGTTCTTACTATTATTACTATTTTAATATTATTAATTAAAAAAAATAACCAGTCTGGATTCTGTAAAAGGCGAGGATGTCTCCTGTCATAAACAGCCAGGTAGGAATAACGACGTCACGTGCCTAGAGTGTGGTTTCATTCTGGAAGCCGAGGCTGTGTCTGCCTGATGGCGGAACCCAGAGGGGCATCTCTAAGCTCAGACACTGCAGTGACTTTGGCTCTTGAAGGCTCTTGAGGCTGGACACCTGTTTCTGTTCAGACTGTCTCCCCCGAGCCTTCCTCCCTGATGCCAACCCCACAGAGGCTCCGGGCCCTGACTGCTGTCTAGAGTGGACGAGGTGGGGGCGTGTGAGCTGTGCGCCCACAGGACCGGCTGCTCTGAGACCCAGGCCCCCAGGGCCCCCGTAAACCCACCCACTGCCCTCTGTTCCCCATAGACCTGGACGAGTGCGCGCTGGGCACCCACAACTGCTCCGAGGCTGAGACCTGCCATAACATCCAGGGCGGCTTCCGCTGCCTGCGCTTCGACTGTCCTCCGAACTACGTCCGAGTCTCCGAAACGTGAGTCGTCCCCCGCACCCCGCCCCCTGCGCCAGTCCTGCACTGCCCAGGGCAGAGGCCAGCTGAGCGGGTAGCCTGCCTTCAGCACCTCCGGGTCTTCACGGGCCCCTCTGTCTGGCGTGTGGTCTGACTGACCATAAGTGGTGCAGAAAAAAGCGCCTTGCAGAAGTCTGGAGCAGAGAGAATGAAAGAAAGAACTCACACACATTGAAAAACCTCCACCTCGCTCTCAAACACGTACACACGTTTCTATTCTGCTGGGTAGCGAGTTTTTCCCAACACGTAGCATCTTAACAAGTATGACGTGTAGCTCTCCTCCACGGTGTTGGGAGGGTCGTGATCCAGGAGTGGCTGAGCTGGTGCCTCTGCTCTGGGCCTCCTGGGGCCACGTCCACTGGAGGCTTGCCGGGGCTTCAGGGTTCCGCTGCCCACTGGTGGCTCTGGGCGGGCAGCCCCGGTGCCTCACCACCTGGGCCCGGGGCGCCCCAGCCCGGGGTCACTGAGAAGGCAAGTGTTGGTCCTTTGTGACCCAGCCTACTCTTAAAACCGACTATCATCACTTCCGCCACTGGCCACACAGCCCAGCGCTGGGGGTGGGGGTGGGTAGGTGTCACCTGGCGGTGACCCACTGCGGGAGGGGGTGCGGGGGCCGTCTCACAGGCTGGTGACCACATTCCCTCGTGGCGATTCTTGGCATTTTGCCGTATTCCCTGCCTTCTTACTAAAGAAGACAGGGCTTTCCTGGTGGCTCAGATGGTAAAGCATCTGCCTGCAATGCAGGAGACCCAGGTTTGATCCCTGGGTTGGGAAGATCCCCTGGAGAAGGAAATGGCCACCCACTCCAGCATTCTTGCCTGGAGAATCCCATGGTCAGAGGAGCCTGATAGGTTACAGTCCACGGGGTCGCAAAGAGTCGGACATGACTAAGCGATGTCACTTTCCGCTTTCTCACTAAACACGTTTCCATAAAGTGCTTGCCGGAGCATCCAGCGCCTCTCCTCTGCACGGTGACTAAGCGATGTCACTTTCCGCTTTCTCACTAAACACGTTTCCATAAAGTGCTTGCCGGAGCATCCAGCGCCTCTCCTCTGCGCGGTGACTAAGCGATGTCACTTTCCGCTTTCTCACTAAACACGTTTCCATAAAGTGCTTGCCGGAGCATCCAGCGCCTCTCCTCTGCGCGGTGACTAAGCGATGTCACTTTCCGCTTTCTCACTAAACACGTTTCCATAAAGTGCTTGCCGGAGCATCCAGCGCCTCTCCTCTGCGCGGTGACTAAGCGATGTCACTTTCCGCTTTCTCACTAAACACGTTTCCATAAAGTGCTTGCCGGAGCATCCAGCGCCTCTCCTCTGCGCGGTGACTAAGCGATGTCACTTTCCGCTTTCTCACTAAACACGTTTCCATAAAGTGCTTGCCGGAGCATCCAGCGCCTCTCCTCTGCGCGGTGACTAAGCGATGTCACTTTCCGCTTTCTCACTAAACACGTTTCCATAAAGTGCTTGCCGGAGCATCCAGCGCCTCTCCTCTGCGCGGTGACTAAGCGATGTCACTTTCCGCTTTCTCACTAAACACGTTTCCATAAAGTGCTTGCCGGAGCATCCAGCGCCTCTCCTCTGCGCGGTGACTAAGCGATGTCACTTTCCGCTTTCTCACTAAACACGTTTCCATAAAGTGCTTGCCGGAGCATCCAGCGCCTCTCCTCTGCGCGGTGACTAAGCGATGTCACTTTCCGCTTTCTCACTAAACACGTTTCCATAAAGTGCTTGCCGGAGCATCCAGCGCCTCTCCTCTGCGCGGTGACTAAGCGATGTCACTTTCCGCTTTCTCACTAAACACGTTTCCATAAAGTGCTTGCCGGAGCATCCAGCGCCTCTCCTCTGCGCGGTGACTAAGCGATGTCACTTTCCGCTTTCTCACTAAACACGTTTCCATAAAGTGCTTGCCGGAGCATCCAGCGCCTCTCCTCTGCGCGGTGACTAAGCGATGTCACTTTCCGCTTTCTCACTAAACACGTTTCCATAAAGTGCTTGCCGGAGCATCCAGCGCCTCTCCTCTGCGCGGTGACTAAGCGATGTCACTTTCCGCTTTCTCACTAAACACGTTTCCATAAAGTGCTTGCCGGAGCATCCAGCGCCTCTCCTCTGCGCGGTGACTAAGCGATGTCACTTTCCGCTTTCTCACTAAACACGTTTCCATAAAGTGCTTGCCGGAGCATCCAGCGCCTCTCCTCTGCGCGGTGACTAAGCGATGTCACTTTCCGCTTTCTCACTAAACACGTTTCCATAAAGTGCTTGCCGGAGCATCCAGCGCCTCTCCTCTGCACGGTGACTAAGCGATGTCACTTTCCGCTTTCTCACTAAACACGTTTCCATAAAGTGCTTGCCGGAGCATCCAGCGCCTCTCCTCTGCGTGGCGCTGCCACGCAGACGTGCCCAGTGGTTCTGAGCTTGCTCTCTCTGCTCTGCCGGCCTCTTGTCCATCTGTGCGCACAGCCCACCTCGGGCGGCCCTTCCTGGCACGTCTGCGCCCGTGGTTTACTCCTGGCTGCCCTGCTGACCCTGTGCCATGCTCGCTAACACACAGTGCTGGGGGCAGGCGTGGTTGGGGTGTTTAGCTGAGTGTGTCTGGGTGGCCGGTGGCCTCCCTTCTCTGGGTCTCAGCTGCTCCGCCTGCAACACGGGTGACGGTAGCGCCAACCCCGGGGAGCGTGAGAGCACGTGATGAGCAAAAACACGTCATGAGTTTACACAGGGCGTGACGTGGCCTGGTCCTGCCTGCTGTGGTCCCCCCCGTTCAGGAACTCTGCTCAGAGCATCCCCTAGAACTGGTGCCCAGGCTGGAAGCACTGAGCCCCAAGACGGGGGTTTAGTGATGGAAGAGACACGGTCTCATTGCACCAAGGAGAGACCAGCTTATTGCTGAGCTTAGAAATTGAGCCGGGGGCCCCGTGGGGTTGGGTCGTGACCCTGTAGTGTGGCCGGGTTCCCTGGCTCCCTGTGGAGCAGGTGTGACTCAGAGCTCTCTGATACTCAGAGAGGGACAAGGGTGGGCCATCCCAAGTCAGTGGAGGAAACGGCTCAGGAGGAGAGTCAATCGTGGGAGCAAAGGGAATCTGAAAAACGATTAGAGTGATAGAAACACCATGGCCAGGGAATCCGTGCAAATAATGTAGGAAGGAAAAAACCAGAGGTAGGGAGGCAAGAGTGAAGGCAGGCAGGAAGGCGCGCAAGACCAGGGAGAGCTGCTCCCAGAGGCTGTCTGCACTGTGCTGCGCGCCGCCTGTTTTATAACCCACCGCTTTCCGCCAATGACACCGCGTGGCTATTAACCCATCCTGCAGACGGGAAAGCTGAGGTCCAGGGAGGTCAGGTGACCCTGCTCAGGCTGCTGTGGGCTGCCGAGGCGGAGCTGCGGATGGAGGCTGGGTGGGCGTCGGGTGGGAGCGGCGAGCAGAAGCCCCCCTCCACTGACGCCCCCGCGTGCGCCCTGCAGGAAATGCGAGCGCGCGCTGTGCCACGACTTCCTGGAGTGCCAGAACGCGCCCGCGCGCATCACGCACTACCGGCTCAACTTCCAGACCGGGCTGCTGGTGCCCGCGCACATCTTCCGGATCAGCCCGGTGCCCGCCATCGCCGGCGACACCATCGCGCTGACCATCACCAAAGGCAACGAGGAGGGCTACTTCGGCACGCGCCGCCTCAACGCCTACACGGGCGTGGTCTTCCTGCAGCGCACCGTGCGCCAGCCACGCGACTTCGCGCTGGATGTGGAGATGAAGCTCTGGCGGCAGGGCTCCGTCACCACCTTCCTGGCCAAGATGCACATCTTCTTCACCGCCTTTGCCCTGTGAAGCACCGCCCGCCGTGGACAGCGCGTAGAGCCCGGGTCCCCCCGCTGGTCCGGCCCCCCGGCCGCGCGCCCGCCTCTGCGCTCCCGCCGGCCGCATGGGGGACCGGCGCCATGGCCGCTTGCCTCCGACCCTGTAAATTAATTTTGCTGATGTTGTTCCTCACGTTCTGGCCTCTCCTGGGCCCCGGACAGAGCTTTGAGGGCAGTTACAGGCCATCACTGGGGCCCCGTGGAAGGGGTCGGAGGATCAAGAGCCTGGACATGGCGACCAAGACTGGAAACAGCGACCACGTTGGAGCTTTGGACTCAACTGTCCCCAACGATGATATTCTGTTTCATGTTACACTGTGATTAGCTCTTTACTTGTTTTTTTTTTTTAAGATCATTTTTGTATTTTTGTTTAATTATAAAAGTAGCACATGTATATTGCAAAAATATATATATTCAAATAGTTCCAAAGGGTTATAAAGTAAAAAAGTGATAAAAGAAAACCTGCTTCCTTTTGTGAAGTGTTTGGGATGATGTTCGTGAGTGTCCGAGGTCCCCAGCCTGACGCTCACCTCTCGTTGTTGGAAGGATGGCAGTGGGAACATGCTCACTTCTGGCTCTCCTCCTCCTCATGCCCTGTTTCCCACGACCCACCTCTCCTTCTCCCAATGTGGACCTTACCTGGCGTGTCACCTTGGACATCACCCAGGAACTGGACATCTATGTATAGTTTTGTGACTTCCCAGGTGACGCTAGTGGTAAAGAACCTACCTGCCTATGCAGGAGATGTAAGAGATGTGGGTTTGATCCCTGGTTCAGGAAGATCCCCTGGAGAAGGAAATGGCAACCCGCTCCAGGATTCTTGCCCAGATACTCCCATGGACAGAGGAGCCTGGCGGGCTACAGTCCATGGGGTCGCACAGAGTCGGAAATGACTTCACATGCACACGCGTGGGTAGTATTACTTCTTTGTCCTCTTAACCTACCACTGTTCGCACCTTACAATGAATGTGTGTGGGACTGTTGAGCAGAGAAATTAGCTAACGATTGGGCAAGTCCAGTTTCTCTCCTGGGCCAGCCGTTTTCCATTGGTGTCTTCGGTCCCTCAGAAGCTGTGGCTCAGTGTCCCTGCGTATCTGACCGCTGTCACTGCGTTAGAGCCTCGCCAGTGGTACCAGGGCTACTGGACTCACAGTGTAGGTGGGAGTCACCTGCAGAATGAGACCAAGGCTGGGGTCCCAGCTGCCATTAGCGACTCACCCACTGCATCGCCTTGTGTGACCACATGTCCGCCGGGTCCCCAGCCTCCTTCCACCTTGTCAGGCTCCAGAGGTAGGCATGAGCTTGGCTCCCCGCTTTCAGACGTCTGCTCTGATGGAGCTGAGAGATGACATCGTCTCTTTGTCCAAGCCCCTTGAGATGGTCACACGGTGCTGGGCAGACGTAATACTGCGTTCCCCTCTTGCATAACCATCCTTCCTCTCCCCTTGGCTGTGACTCCCTTCCCATTTGTACCCTGATTCTTCACCTCTGGAGTGGACATCGCCTTTGGCCACAATGCTGGTCTAGACCAAAGGCAGCAAGCGCCTCCCCTGGTCCACTCCGTCCCTCAGGGTTGCAGACACAGAGGCAGGGGTCATCTCGACCAGCGGAAGACACGGCTGCAGTCACTGTCACCTTGGTCTTGCCAGAGGCATTGAAGGCATTGCCCAGCTGGTCAGGCCCTTTGGAATTCTGCCACCAGGGTTTAAAGTCTCAGTTTCTTGCTTAGGAATCAGGCCACTGTTGCAGCCTTGTTCCTGGCATTAGATACAGAAAAGGAGGATTGAGATAACAGCATGGCAGTGTCCTCCCGCCGTGGGAAGAACTGTGCATTCGTAACAGCATTCCCTGCCTCCCCCTCCATCGCTCCAGATCACCTAGAGAAACCCAGGAGTCCGTCTAGCAGGGACCTGCCTTGGTCCCTCTGGTGTTGAGCATATACTCAGGAAACCTTGAAAGCCGGCACTTCACGGCTTTATCTCCGCCACGCCATGTTAGACAGCCAGTGTTTCGGATGCCAGTCTTAACTCTCCGTCTAAGCAGCATTCCAAGAAGCAGGTCTCTCTGCCTGTCGTTGACACTGTGGCCGTGATGTGTGAGCCTTGGTCCGAAGACGCGTGATTGGGTGGTTCAGACTGGCACACTCTCCTGTGCCCAGGCTCTTAGAGTATCTTGAACATGTGTGTCTACCGCTGGGCTGAGTCGACTCTGTGGCCACAAGTCTGAGCAAACTGGGAAATGGCCAAGGACAGGGAAGCATGGCGTGCTGCAGTCCGCGGGGTCACGGAGAGTCGGACAGGACTTACTGACTGAACAGCAGCAACAACTTTTAGGCACCCCTCACTGGGCTTCCCAGGTCCAGCAGTAAAGAAGCTGCCTGCCCGTGCAGGAGACACAGGTCTGATGTCTGGGTCGTGAAGATCCCCTGGAGAAGGAAATGGCAACCCACTCCAGTATTCTTGTCTGGAGAATCCCAGGGACAGAGGAGCCTGGTGGGCTGCAGTCCAAGGGGTCACAGAGAGTCAGACACGACTGAGCAACTGGACACACAGTCTCCAGTCCTCATAGTGATTTCTGCAGGGCGTCCGTATGGCCATCTCTATAGCAGACAGCATTACTTTGCCGACAAAGGTCCGTCTCGTCAAAGCTATGTTTTTTCCAGTGGTCATGTACAGATGTGAGAGTTGGACCATAAAGAAAGCTGAGCACCAAGAATTGATGCTTTTGAACTGTGGTGTTGGAGAAGACTCTTGAGAGTCCCTTGGTCAGCAAGGAGATCAATCCAGTCAATCCTAAAGGAAATCAATCCTGAATATTCATTGGAAGGACTGATGCTGAAGCTGAAGCTCCAATCCTTTGGCCACCTGATGCGAAGAGCTGACTCATTTGAAAATAGCCTGATGCTGGGAAAGACTGAAGGAGGGGGGAGAAGGGGATGACAGAGGATAAGATGGTTGGATGGCATCACCGACTCAATGGACATGGGTTTGAGTGAACTCTGAGAGATGGTGATGGACAGGGAAGCCTGGTGTGCCGCAGTCCATGGGGTCGCAAAGAGTCGGACATGAATGAGTGACTGAACAGCATTCCAGACCAGGTATTCATTGCCCCCTGCCTGACTGTTCAGGCCAGGCCATTGGCCACTACCCACGAGTCAGTGAAAAACCCAACATGGGGCCAACAGAGTGGTCTCAAAGTATCCAGCCAGTAACTGTCTCTCAAATGGAAAGCTTCTGGTCCCAAACCCAAGTTCGGCACATTGCACAGTTTGAGGGAGCAATCCCCTCACAACTGCCCTTGCATGTCGGTCAGAATAGCCTAGAGAAGCAGAACCTACAGCATATATGTGTGCGTGTGTGCGTATAGATAAAATAAGAATTGCTTGCACAGTTACGGAAGCCAACAAGTCCCACCTGCTGCCCGCATGCTAGCGGCCCAGGAAGGCTGGTGGGGTGGTGCGGCGTGGTCTGAAGGTCTGAGGACCAGGCACATGAGAGGCAGAAGGTCAGCGTCTCAGCTCAGACAGTCCGGCAGGGAGTGCTGACTTCTCCCTTCCTCTGCTGTGTTGTTCTGCTCAGACCCTCAACGGACTGCACGAAGCCCATCCACAGTGAGAAGGGCAAGCGAGTTTCCTGCACCTTCCTGTTCAAATGCTCTTTTCTTCCAGAAACAGCCCCCCATGTACACTTGGGAAAAAAATGTTTAGCCAAATATCCAGTGAAGGTGGTACATAAGTTAGCCATCACATCCTCAGACACCAGCTACAATATCCAAGGACCACACTCACTTCAGGTCAGCTGCTAGCTCAATCTGTGTTCCCTTCCAGTTCAATAATTCGCTAGAACGACCCACGGAACTCAGAAAAGCTCTATACTTTGCAGCTTTGTTACAGCGAAAATCAGCTGGGGAAGGAGACACACAGGGCACAGGGCAGGGGCGTCTACACACAGCTTCTGGTCATGCCTGCCCCGTGGAGTCCGGGTGCATGATAGCCTCCTCCCAGCCCCAGTGTGGGAGCGTTGCCCAGCGGGGAAGCACCCCACCCTGGCCTTGAGTGCCCAGCGTCCAGTGCCGTCCGCCTGTGCAGGCAGTGTGTCTGAGCGCCCTCGTGGGCGCCCCAGGCTTGCTTCGTCCGAGTCAGTCAGCCCCCCACACTGGGGCCCCTCCCCGCGAGCCGAGGGCCCACGTGCTCCATGGCATGACTGGCACCGTCTTTAGAAAAGCTTTGCAGCAACATGTGAACGTTGAGAGTTTTCACCCAAACTTGTAGGTTTTCAGTTTTTCTGGAAACCCCAGGCTTCCTCCTCTTTGTAATTTCCAAGGTAAAGTTGTTCTTCTAAAATGTTGCTTTGGTAGCCGTTGTGGCCTCTCATGGCCTCATTCAGTTCAGTTCAGTCGCTCAGTCATGACCAATTCTGTGACCCCATGGACCGCAGCGCGCTAGGGTCCCTGTCCATCACCAACTCCCGGAGTTTACTCACTCATGTCCATTGAGTCAGTGATGCCATCCAACCATCTCATCCTCTGTCGTCCCCTTCTCCTCCTGCCTTCCATCTTTCCCAGCATCAGAGTCTTTTTCAATGAGTCAGTTCTTTGCATCAGATGGCCAAAGTATTGGAGTTTCAGCTTCAGCATCAGTCCTTCCAATGAACACTCAGGACTGATTTCCTTTAGGATGGACTGGTTGGATCTCCTTGCAGTCCAAGGGACTCTCAAGAGTCTTCTCCAACACCACAGTTCAAAAGCATCAACTCTTCGGCGCTCAGCTTTCTTCCCAGTCCAACTCTCACATCCATACATGACCACTGGAAAAACCATAGCTTTGACTAGATGGACCTTTGTTGGCAAAGTGATGTTTCTGCTTTTTAATAAGTTGGTCACAACTTTTCCTCCAAGGAGCAAGCGTCTTTCTTGGCTGCAGTCACCATCTGCAGTGATTTTGGAGCCCAAGAAAATAGTCTGTCACTGTTGGCATTGTTTCCCCATCTACTTGCCATGAAGTGATGGTGCCTCATCTAACCCCATAGAACGTCGTGGCTCCTGCAGAACCGGCCACAGCAGAGCCGTGACAGCCTGCCTGTAGGTGGTGAGCGCCCCGTCGCAGGAGGTGTGCAGTTTGGGCCCAGAAGGTCCGCTGGGCATGGGATGGGGCCCTGGAGGTTCCAGGATTTTGTGAGGTAAGTGCTCTTCCTTCCTGCTGCTCTGCAAGCCGGTGGGATGGAGGTGGCTCCTTCCAGCAGGCCGGACATCCCAGGCACGTCAGCCGGGCAATGGTGCCCCCTCGTGGTTGCAGCCCAGCCCGGCAGCGCTGCCCACAAGCTGTGGAGCGAGATGGATTTGGGCAGGTGGGGTGGGGGAAGGTGTTTCTGGTGGCGGGAGGGCTGTGCTGGCTCATGGGGACACACGAGAGGCCCTGACCACGGCCCCGTGCGGCTGGAGGGGGGTGTGTAGTGTCAGTGGAGGCTGGAGGTCTGGGGGAGGTCAGATGGGGGGGCCCGGATGCAGAGTGAGGGCTGGTCCGCGAGGGACGTGGGCCTGGGTAGCGCCCGGCAGAGTGGTCACCCATCGCTTAAACAGCAGGTGTGTCCCCGGGCCCAACGCTGAGGTCTCCCGGGGTCTGATCCTCTACTGTATCTCGGACCAAGAATTCCCACCCGCAGGCATCTTCCTGGCAGACGGGTTTTCTGCGTGCCCTGCCATGGATGGGACCACCATTGACCGCCAGGTGCTTTAATGGAGGGACTGGGGGCAAAGGGCGCCCCCCAGAGAACTGACATGCCTGGGCTCCACCAGCATCTATCTGGAGGCGCCGCAGGGGTTCAGCCTCTGTGCTTGGGGCTCTGTGTCGCTAAGATTGCTTTTCATCCCGCTGTGACCTGTGAGGGAGGGCTGCTGCTCCCCTGCCACAGAAGTGGAAACGGGCTCAGAGAGAGCGTGGGCCTGGCCGAAGGTCATACAGAGATTCCGACTCCTGTGTGCCTGACTGCAAAAGCTCATGGCTCAAGAGAACGAGAGGACAAGAGATAAAATGCTGGCAAAAGACATACACAGGAAAAGGACAGTTCTCTAAAAATACGGAGAACTCAGAAATCAACAGTAAGAAAATGAATAACCTAACTTAAAAATGGAAAGATGTGAACACACACTTCACCACGAGACCTACAGATGTCAAGGAAGCAGGCGCAAAGATGCCCTGCCAGGGTCCAGCCTTGGCAGGATCCAGGGGGTACCCTCAGGATGAACGGCGTTGGCGAGAGAGAGAGAAGACACGTGAGACCAGCCTTGACAGGGCCAAGTCTCAGGATGACGAGAGAGAGTGACCAGACGGGGGGTGCAGCAGGGCCTGGCAGAGTCTGGCAAATGCTTTATTTTTTACTGTAGCTTTTATACTCTAAATTTGTACATTTCTAAGGGGAAGATAGTTTAACATTACGTCAGCTTGTCCTTCACGAAACCAGGGTGTTTTCTGCACACTTCTTTGTTTATGAGGGTCTTGTACATTATCTTCTGGCCTTGGGGCCTATTAACATTTTATGCAGGTCAGGTGAATGTAAACCTATTTTCCGTTTCTATGGTGACCTTAACTGAAAGGTAACAGTCTCATAGGGCAACAGTACAGAGTAGAAGTATAACCTTGTTAACACAAAAATGAATCCTTCTGCAGAAGTTGTCAGTTGCGTTTATCTAAGAAGTTTACCCCAGACTGACTCTGCGACTTTGGTGAGGCAGCCTCTGCCTAGCACTCCTGGCTGACAGTTAACAACCATCTTATTGTTACCACACTAGGGCTAAGTTCTTATTTCTCTAGATCTTTAACTATATTAACAATGGTTTCTATAACACAACCTTAGCACATTAAAAGCAAAAACACAGCAAGCAAACGTCAACCCAATAACCACCTTTAGAATAATTTTTCTTATGTTTTCTAATAGGACTCCTTCACCCCTCAAAAATGCTCTATGTCTATTAGGGCTTTTATAGAATCAGGTTCTTTATGCTACTTTATGATTAGGATATTATAAGCAATCATGCATATTAGTACCAAGGGCATAAATGCATTTGGCTAACAAACTACCAGCAAAGGAGTTTAAATTAAAACACTCCTTTCGCCATGGATAATCTCATAAAACACCACCGCCTGGGAAACTTATTGATTAAAGTTCTAAATTGATTCTTATTTGGGAAGAGATTGGGGAAGGCCTTCCTGCCTGTGTCACAGAAATTAGGGAGTAGTCCATTGAGGCAGGCATCAGAAAGACAGATAGCATCTTTAAGGTGAGCGCCGGGGGCAGCTTTTCGAAACCCCTGAAAACCTGATCTGCCCTGCCCGTCAGGCTTTCTCCTCGTGACCTTGTCACGGGTGGGATCTCGTGTGCCGGCTCCCAGCAATGCCCCGCATTGTATGTCGTCAGGGAACTACAGATCGAAGTGCGGAAGCATCACCACACACCTGGAAGGATGGCTAAGATCTTGATGCAGGTGGCGCCCCATTCTTGTGAGCTTGTGGATGATCCGGCTTTCTCATTCACTGCTTCTGAGAACACAGAATTGTGCAGCTACTCCTCAAGATACCTGGCAGTTTCTTTCAAAATTAAAAATACTCTTTGGCATACAAATCAGCTGTCACCATCCTTGGTATTTACCCAGCTGAGCTGAAAACTTGTGTGCACACAAAAAATGCAAAGGTGGATATTTATAGCAGCTTTATTCATACTGCTCAAAACTAGGAAGCAACCAAGATGTCCTCCTGCAGGTGAGTGGATAAATAAACTGGTGCCTCCAGACAATAGGATATTATTCAGCACTGTAACGAAATGAGCTATCAAGTCATGAAAAGACAGGCAGGGAGGAACCTTCAATGCTTGTGACTCAGTGAAAAAAGCCAATCTGAAAAGGCTACAGACTGATTCCCACTCTGTGACATTCTGGAAAAAGCAAAACTGTGAAGACAGTGAAAAGATGAGTAGTTGCTAAGAGTTAGTAGGGAGGGGTGAACCGGTGCATTCTGGAGGATGCTTAAGGGAGTGAAACTATTCTTTATAATATTATAACGGAGGACACGTGTCATTATACATTTTTCTAATCCAGAGGACAGGCACCACCAAGAGTATAAACTGTGGACTTTGGTTACTAACAGTGCAGTGAAATGGGCTCATCAATTGTAACAAACACCCCACGGTAGTGGGGCGTGCTGCTGGTTGGGGAGACTGCACCTGTGTGGAGGGAGGGCGGATGTGGGCAGTCTGCAGTTCCCAGACAGTATTTCCATGAACCTAAAACTGTTCTGAAAAGGTAGTCTATTAAAAAAGAAAAATCACCGCATTTAACTAACCAGCTCCTAGAAGGTCCCAGTCTGGTGGGAATTGAACACAGAAATAGGTACGACTGTTCGGACAGTCACTGCAATGATGAGGAAGCCGCGGGGGGCGGGGGGTGGGTGGGCTGTGAACACTCAGATGAGCTGTTAACACTGACATCAGGGAAGGCTTCCTGGAGGAAGCGTCCGGTGAGCTTTGACAGCCCAACTGGAGTAGCAGGGCCGGCGTTAGGGACGGAGGGACCAGCACGCGGGAAGGCACGGGGGTGCGAGGTGTTGGGGGCACAGCAGAAGTTTGGGGTGCGTAGCGTGTGCGGAGTTGAGTCGCAGGAGGCGCCCCCAGCCTGGAGGTCAGGCCTCTGGGTTCGTTCTCTGGGCCAAGACGTGTGCGCGGCGACCCCTGGCGGTGGCGCGGGGAACTGCGGGCGGCCGCGCAGGCGCAGACCGCGGACAGTCTCTGCCGACCTGCGCGGGCAGGCCTGGGCAGAGGGCCCGGAGGGGTCGTGGAGCAGGAATCAGGGGCATCTGCGAATACAGACGTGCTTTGTCACCAACCTCGACTGTAAACGGAGCGTTTGCTTTCGGTAGGAGCGCAGGCAGGAAACCTCAGTAGCATTAGCTGTGTTCCCCTCTCCTCTCGGGTATCTAACAGCGCCGGGGCTCATCAGTACTTTGAAAAAATCATCACCTGCCGCCCGATCGTGTTATTCGCGATGCTAGGAAGCAGGCCCACGTTGTGCCGTATTACAGACTTCTTTTTAGTGTTCTGAGAACTATAATTTCCATCTAAGTTGGCGTTTTAAAAACCGACAGGCTCCTCTAGACTGCCTGAGGCGCCTCTGGGACACACGTGCACACACAAACACACGTGCACACGCAGACACACACACACACAGTGTTTGAGACCTGCTTCCCAGGAGGAAGGACGACACCAGTGAGGCATGGCTGTATAATCGATCGTCTGGATCTGCACTTTGAGGGAAATGGGCGCAGTGGGTGGGTGCATGGCCTCCGCCTCGCATGGAGGGCTTAAGGGGCGTCAGTGGTTGCATCTCTAGGTGAGTGAGCCTGAGTGTGGAAGCAGCAGAGAGCATCTGAGGGGGGTGCAGTGTGTGTGTGTGTGTGTGTGTAGGGGGTCAGATCTGGGGCCTGGGCTCTGGCAGCTGGCTAAACACGGGGCTGTAGCTGCAGCTCTCTGTAGGCTGCAGCCACCTGACCTACAGCCCCGTGTTCAGCCAGTCGTTCTCAGATACCTTGTCCAGCTGTCCCCAGGGGTGGTGTTGGGAGGGGGTTTCAGCCCTGCCTCCTCTGAGAGAGGCGGATGGACAGCGTGTGTCACCTTCTTGCATCACCAAACTCATTCTTCCTCCCGTGAAAGTCGCTCAGTCGTGTCTGACTCGTGGCGACCCCATGGGCTATACAGTCCATGGAATTCTCCAGGCCAGAATGCTGGAGTGGGTAGCCTTTCCCTTCTGCAGGGGATCTTCCCAACCCAGGGATCAAACCCAGGTCTCCCACATTGCAGGCGGATTCTTTACCAGCTGAGTCACAAGGGAAGCCCAAAATATAGAGATGTACGTTTTGGCATAAATTTATGCTTGGTGGTGGTTTAGTTGCTAAGTCGTGTCCGACCCTTGCAACCCCATGGACTGTACCCCGCCAGGCTCCTCTGTCCATGGGATCTTCCAGGCAAGAGTACTGGAGTGGGTTACCATTTCCTTCTCCAGGGGCTCCTCCTGACCCAGGGATTGAACCGGGGTCTCCTGCACTGCAGGCAGATTCTTTACCAACTGGACTACGAGGGAAGCCCGAGAACAGTGGAGTGGGTAACCTATCCCTTCTCCGGGGGATCTTCCTGACCCAGGAACCGAATCTGGGTCTCCTGCATTGCAGGCGGATTCTTCACCAACTGAGCTATCAGGGAAGCTCCTCCTGTGATCACCCCCATTTTACAGATGCAGAAACTGAGGTCCAGGGAGGCTGAGTATTTTTGCGCAGGCCACACAGGAAGCACCGCTATGGATGATGAGTGGAGGGTCTTGCTGAGCCTCCGCATCCCTGTCTCACTTTGGGAGAGGGGGCTGTGAGGCTGGGCTGGAAGGGGGCGCTTGCCACCAAGCCCTGTCCCGTGCACACCCCCACCCAACTCCTCATCCTCGTCCTCCCTGGATTCACGTGCACTCTCCACGCCCGCCGCTGCTCTCAGCCCACCCCGGTGCTCCCGCCGCCCCAGCCCCTCTGTCCCCAATGTCAGGAGTGCCCGGCGGACCCCCTCGGCCTGTGGGCTCCGCCCTGCCCACCACACACAGAGGGGGTGTCCTGCTCTGCACCCCGCGGCCTCGGCACAGCCCCTCACAGGAGAAACCCCCCCAGACACCATCTCTGTTTCCCCAGCTCTCAGCAGCAGGCAGGCACAGAGCAGGCTCTAAGTAATGTTTGTTGAGTGAATAAACATCTTTGCGCACCCCTCCACCCACTCACCCACCCAGGAGAGAAAGGTGGGGTCCTTTCTGTCTGTTCCGGTGGTGATCAGAGTTTGCCCAGCTGTCCAGGCTGAGTCAGAGCTGCAGGAGGGGCAGGGACCACTGGGATGGGGTCCCAGGCCAGGGTCCATCTGTGAGCTTCACGGACCCCCTAGAACCGGAAACATGGGCTCCAGGTTCCCGTCAGCCTGATCTTGAGAGGGGGGTTCCCCCCGAGGGTCCCCCAAGGGCGTGGCCCTCAGCGGCTCTCTCTCAGCCCTAAAGGTCAGCGCTGGGCCCCGCCTCATCCTCTCCTCGGTCCATTTATCAGATCGGAAGCTCAAGGCTGGTCCGGTCCAGCTGCACCCAAGGTTATGTGCTTGTCCTCCGCACCCAGCTGCCCTGACCCCGGGGAACTTGGCAGGAAGGGCGGGGACAGGAAGGGGACAGCGGGTGTCTGCGCCGGCCCGGGACGCTGTCAGCCGCGTGAGGATTTATGCCTGAGAGCTGGGCAGCGGGCTGACGCCACTGGGCTGACCCTGGGCCGTCGCTGCAGAGAGCCTGGCCGGGCCCGGGCGCCGGGACTTGGCCTGGAGGACGCGGCAGAAGCAGAGGAGTCCTGAGACCCCCAGGCGCCCGGCATGCTGGGCCCAGCCTGGGCCAGCTGAGACCTCGGCCGGGACATCCCGCCTCCCTGGGCCTCAGTTTCCTCAGCTGTGCCTGGGCATGAGTCTCCGTAGGTACTCCTTGGCCCCCTCAAACAGTATGTGTCCACTGGCCATTGCAGGGGCGCCGGCTGTCTGTGTCTGCCTGGGGGAGCCCCTTCTTGTCCCAGCCCCCTTGTATTCCTCCGGGGGTCTTCACTGATCACCGTCCTGTCCATCCCTTCAGACGAGGGGAGCTGATGCGGAAACTGTCATCAGGGGTCCTCAGGCACTGGCAGTGGATCAGGTGTTCAAGAAGTAAGGGGGAAGGGGATTTGGGGGTGCTGCTGGCTGCAGAAGTCACAGCGGAAGGGAGAAGGGCCCGGTGAGCCACAGGAGGATCACGGGGTGCAAGAGAGGTGGCGCCCCCAGGCCCCCTGGGGTGTCTCGTTAGGGACCCGGAGTAGCCGGGCTTCTCTGTGAGCCCCGGCATCCGCGCTGTCAGAGTCCTGCCTGCGGACCCTTGGAACAGTCCAGAACCCCACCTCCTCCCAGCGGCCCCTCTCGCCTGCCTCCCCCTGAGCCCTGCCCCACCCGTCTGCCCAGCACCTTCTCCTCACCCTAAATAACATGCCGGTTCTCTGTTCCTTCTGTCCCTACCCGCGCCCCGCCATGGGTTTGCCATCACCCCCAGGAGGAGCGCCAGTTCCTTAACTGTGGCCTCTAAGGCGCTCGGAGTCCTGGCCCCCGACCCCCATCTGGCATCACTTCTCTCAGCCTTTCACATTTTCCATCAAACCGCATCACTCATGCTGTTTCACATAATCAGCTGTGTGATCGCCGTCCGGGGCCCACACCTGCAGACCCTGTGGTGTGATGAGTGCTGTGCCGGGGGCCACGCGGGGGTGAGCCGGGGGGACGCGGAGCAGGGTGCGGACCCTCTCCAGGCCTCAGTTTCCCCTCTGCACCTGATGACCTGGGCCCTCCCTCTGGCGGCGCCCTCCGCCAGGGGGTGTCTGTGGGTAATTCTGAGTCTCCGCCTTGTCCTGGAAGAGGGGTTGCCATGGAAACAGAGGCTGAGGCTCCAAGCGGGAGGGAGCCTCCCCCGCCCTTTGTTAGACGCGGAGCCGGCTGCCTTGGGGGCGGGGGGGGGGGGGGGGGGGGCGGCGCGGGACATGCCTGGTTTCGGGGAAGAGTGCCGCCTGGGGTCCGTGCTCGTTGAGGGCCGGGCCCTCCTGACCGACCCTCCCGCCCTCCCGCTGGCCGCTCGGTCCACCAGGTGACCCCCGATGAAAGGGCAGACGTCCCTGGATGGGCGGGGGTCCAAGGCATCAGGACCCACCCGCGTGTTTAGGCGAGCCCCCCTCCCGTCCCTGCACCCCCATCTCGGGCATTTCCATCAGCTGGCTGCACGTTGAAGATGCACCCTGAGCCCTCAGGAAACCCGGCCCTGCCTCTTGGCCGAGCACGCGTGGCCGGAAGGTCCCCGACCCTCCCGGGCTGGTCTAGGGTGTGACTGCGGGTCTTCCTGTCCCGCCGCTGCCCGGCCTGGGCGGGTGGGGAGCCTGGGACCCCCGGAAGGGGTCCCCCTGCCCCCTGCAGGTGGCGGGGCCGGCCCTCGGAGTCATCCCCTCCTGTTGTTGCCCGGCGCCCCATCTCCGCTCTGCACTCGGGGCTCCCTGCTGCCTGGCACCCCGGTCCCCCCGGGCCTCTCCCCTCCCCCCGCCCCGCACCCCTTGTACCGAAGGAAGGTCGGAGCCGATCGGCCAGGCGCCGCCAGGGGACGCTCTCACCCCAGGTCTGGCCGCTCATCGCTGCCCGCGGGGACCCCCGGCTAGAGGAAGCAGCCCCGGGGCTGGGAGGGGCCTCGCGGCGTCGTGGGCCGCTCCTGCGCCCTTAACTGAGGTCTCTGGGCGCCGACGTGGTCCCGGAGAGCTGAAGGCCGAGGTGTAGAGAACACCCCTCAAAGGAAATCTCTTAAGGGCTTCCCTGGAGCTCAGCTGGTAAAGAACCCGCCTGCAATGCAGGAGACCCTGGTTCGATTCCTGGGTGGGGAAGATCCTCCGGAGGAGGATAAAGAACCCGCTTGCCAATGCAGGAGACGTAAGGGACACAGGTTCGATCTCTGGGTTGCAAAGATCCCCTGGAGAAGGGGCAGGCTACCCACTCCAGTACTCCGGCCTGGAGAATGCCATGGAATGTATAGTCCGTAGGGTTGCAAAGAGTCAGACAGGACTGAGTGACTAACACATACCCAGTGATGGTGGGCAAGCCCTTAACTTCTCTGTGCCTCAGTTTCCCCACCTGGGAGATGGGTGCACACCCACCTCTGCGGAGCAGGGCTTACTGTCACTCATCACAGCATGATTGACTCATGGGCTCAGAAACCAGAGACACAGCTGGAGGTGCAGAGAATCGGGGAGTTGAGACAGAGATGTGGGAACCCTGAAGGCGGGAGCCATCCATGAGCCGTTTGACCTCGACTTTTCTCTTTCTGGGAAGAGAAGAGCAGAGAGAGGCCCCAGCAGGTGGAGGCAGGGAGGGTGAAGTCTGTGTGGGGCCCAGACTGTGACCTGGGGGACGCCGGCCAGCTGGGTGCTGTGGGCACCTTTGAGGAACCCCGAGCCCGTCTCCCCACCGGTAAATGGGGTGCAGACAGCTCTCGCGTGGGGCGGAGGAGGTGCGTCCAAGGTGCAGTGTGGCCCGCAGGAGGGCATCAGTAAATGTGGGTGGCCGCCTGCCCTAACTTTGCCACACCCTTGGGCTGGGGCCCTTGGGAAGACAGGGCCCAGGGCGGTGAGGGAGTGCCCCGATGTTAGTCACAGCTGCCCCGTAGCCGGGTTGAGCATGTTGAGACAGCCATCAGGGAGGATCGTCACGCAGCTGTTGGCTCAAAAGCCATTGTTGAGCACCTACTGTATGCCAGGCACTGGCGCGGACCTGAATTTTGCTGGAGAAAGGCACAGTCGGCAGATAACCAGGATGTGATGGCGGGTGGTGACAGGAATGAAGATGAACCGCAGAGCGGAGTCGGGGCAGAAAGAACGCGGGGGCCTGGGTTACCGGGCGGACGGGTCACAGGGCCAGACGCCCAGAGGGTGAGCAGGTGCTGCCGCGTGAAAGGCCGGACGGGTCCCGGGCAGAGGCCCCCACGAGGGCGAAAGCCGGGGAGTAGGAGCGTGCCGGTGTGGCTGGGCTGGGGTGGGTGAGGCTCGAGAGAAGGGCTGAGCCCCACGCCCCTGGGTCCGCTTGTTGTCTGCCCAGCCACACCCCTTCCACGCCCCAGCGGGCTCCAGGACCCCAAAACTGCCTCGCAGAGGCTGCGTTGACTCCTTCGGCCACACGAGGGCAGCAGAGAACGCCACTGGGAAAGACCCGGGCGGTTGGGCGGCCGCTGAGCGCCCTGCGGAACCCGCTTCGGGAACCAGGGCCGGATCCTGGACACCCTCACCCCCGCCCCCCGCCTCGGTGCTCCCATCCTGCTCCTCCCTTCTGACCCGCAGGACGCATGCTACAGCCGGGCTTCAGCACTTCCGGCACGGGTCAGGGGGTCCCCCTGGGGCCTGGGTCCCGCATCTCTGGGACGGGAACAGAGTCCCACCTCCAGGGGCGCAGCGGTCGCGGTGGCGGGGTGTTTGCCGTCACGCGTGCCGCGGCCAGTGAGCTGGGTGGCCTTGGGCAACCCGCTTGCCCTCTTTGAGCCTCAGTTTCCCCGTCTGTGAAATGGGGATGGTGGCCTCTGGCGTGGGAGTCTTGTGCAGGGAAACTGACAAGCCGCATCACGCGCGCCGGGGACTCCGCACGGAGCCCGGCTCTCAGTAAACACACTCCATGGTGGCAGTCGGCCATGACCAGGGCATGCGTGACCGGGGAGAGCCCAGAGACCCTCAGGTCAGATCGGAAGCTGGAGTTTGTCAAGAGGAAGGGTTTACCCAACGTTACTCGCCAGGAGCGAGGCCGGGAGCCCCCCGGGACTGCCCGTCGGCCTGTCCAGACCAGCCTTTGCCGAGCCAGGACGGGGACGTAGGCCGCCTGCTTCGTGGCCTCAGCTCGCCGGCTCGGTCCGGAGCCTCGGCCCACGAGGTCCCTGTCCCCAGCCTCTCGCGCCGCCCGGGACACTCCTTCCCGCGGTGGCCGTCGGGCCCTGCTTCTACACCCCAGGAGCTCAGCTCCCGCCCTGGCAGCCGGTGCGGGGGTCTCTGTAGAACTCCAGGGAGAAGCTGGCGGGGGAGGGGGCGCTTTTCAGGCTGTGACCCCTGGATTCGTGGTCTCCCCAGCCTCCCCTGTGCCAGACTGTGGGGGTCTCGAGACTGGGAAATCTTGGAATGCCACCTTCTTGGAAACCTGGTCCCTTCCAGCCTGGGAATTCTTCGAGCTTCCTCTTAGGGGTGGGGCCCTTCAGTTTCCCATGGAGCTTGTGGGGGGCCGCCCCTTGATTTTGATGTCATTTGGGGTGAAGGAGGTGTTTCCGGAGGCTGGGCCATCAGGGGGGGGGCGGCTGGAGGTAGGGGTGGGAGTTGGGGCAAGCGCAGGAGGGGGTGTGGGGAGCACTGCATGGACCCCAGCGGGGTAACCCTCCTCCCGGTGGGCGCACCTCTCCCCGTGGCGCGGAGGTGGGGAGCGGTCTTCCGAGCCCCCTTCTCTCCACCTCCTCGTGAACCACCGCAGCCCTCGCGGAGTAATTCCTCTGAAACCTCGAATACCTGCAGCGTCTCCCAGGGTATTTTTCTTGTGGTTAAGGTGGTATTTACAGTGAAAACAGCTATTGAAGCGAATCGCGAAAATAATGTCAGTGTTTCCACTTTTGACAAAAATGGGAAGGCAGGTGGTTTCTTGTCTGTGATAAGCGCATCTGCTCCTGCAATAATTACTATTTGAGATAATTATGAAAAAGAATTTAAACACTTAAGGCATGCACAGGGGCCAGGACAACTTTCTTTCGCCTTATTCATAATTTCTCCTGCAAGTCGGAGTCTTGT